CTGCCCTGGACTGCTGTCGCACGTGTGTATGTGCGTGGGTGCGTGTGTACTCGCCTATTTGTGGTTGCAGGGGCCGAGTCACAGCTCCTGGCCCCGCCTCTTCACTGACTGCTACTAGGTCTTCTCTCTCCCTGCTCCATGAGCAGGGAGTGTGTATGTGTGTGTGTACTCACCTAGTTGTGGTTGCAGGGGTCGAGTCCCAGCTCCTGGCCCCGCCTCTTCACTGATTACTACTAGGTCCTCTCCCTGCTCCATGAGCAGGGAGTGTGTATGTGTTTGCTCATAGCTCCACCTGATGAGCTAACATTTAATAGTGATTTTTTCGCGAACGATTTACTGTCCCATATATAATTTGGCCAAAACAAATGGAGTTTTCCCACGATTACCTCATCTTTTTCAAGTTGCGTGAATTCGGGCGAGGCTTTCGCATCATTAAGCGAATTATATTCATAAAGACGAGAAAAATAAACAAATATATAACGTGTATATCTTCAATAATATATAATTTAAATAATAAAAAGCGTGAATTGAATTATAATATGTAAATCTTTATTACATGGTTATAAATAACAAACTTGAAAGTAAATTTCGGCAAAGTCTATTCAATAGAGTTTACAAAAAGCTAACTAACTGCTAAAAGCGAATAACTTAATAATAATTTAGCTGTTATAATTATTAAAAGTGTGTATCAGCTGTCTGACGTCGGGACAGCAGCAGCTCAGAATCCTGATTAATTCATGTTGGTAAATTATGTACCGCTACTCAGCAACCTGGTGTTTTTTTTTTACTCTTCCCTGGATGATGTAAAAGTTTTAGAGTGAATAATTTTTCTCTTTTGGACAAAAATGTTGGGAAAAGGATCTCTCTCCTCTCTCTCTCTAAAATATTTAATTTGTATTTTTATAAACAATATTTAAATTTATTACTGTGTATTACATTATATAAACAATATAATGAGAAACCGGATAACATAATTGTACACGCTGTATACTAAGTGTAATGTATATACTTTATAATATACAGGTATGCATATTACTGCATAATATATTCACTGTTATGTAAAGCATATTTAATGGGCCTTGAACTTAACAGTGAAGAACTACCAATTGTATCTGAATTACGTGTGAAGGAGAACTTCAACATCTTGACCATGTTTGTCCAAGATGTCAAAATAAGCGAGGAATGGTTGATGTTAGACCACACAAATTTGATGTCGACATCTTCGCCTGTGCTTTCCCCGTGACGAGTTTCGAAGGTTGTTCTTGCCTTCTTCCCTTCCTTCTCTACCTCCGCAACCCGGAATGAGGTCAGGCTGCCCCCTGATGACCACCTGGTCAACCAGGCTGTTTGTGCTGCTGTCTCAGAGGGCAACACAGTCGTAATAGTTTACGAGGCTAATCGTAGATACATAAAAAGGGGAAGTCTTCTTTTTCACGACTTAATATACGTCGTGGGTCTTTGCTCATGTACTAGACAAAATTCCAGCCACTGTGTGTTTTTGTTCTTGTAATAATAATATAATATCCTTATTTCTACAAGTACATGTACAAGGTATACAGACAAGAGCTGACATCAATGACATACTACTACATAGAAAGTCGCTTGTTATGCAGAGCATTTCTGGCAAATTAGGTCAATTTTGTTCCAGGATGCGACCCACACCAGTCCACTAACACCCAAGTACCCATTTTACTGATGGGTGAACATGGACAGCAAGTGTCTTATGGAAACACTTCCTAATGTTTCCAGCGGTATTGAGGATTCGATCCCCGGACCTCAGTGTGTGAGCTGAGCGCTAGACTTCTTAATCACGGGATACACCGTGAGGTGTATATCTTTTAGTACATAAACAGTGAGTTTATTTTAATCCCTCTTTCAGAAATTAAAATATTCTTGACTGGTAGTGCACAGGTGACGTGCAGCGTTAATGACCCTCGCGTAGTCGATAGGCTTTAAACTCTATTAATTAACCAACTACAGAGTGCCAAATGTCACAAAATATAAGTCACACTATTTTTATGTGTCTAATTCATCAGTTTTTATTCACCTCTAGAAGCTACGGGGGAAGTTGAATGATAGATCTAGACCTTTCATGTTGCAGTCAACACATCAGGAGCTTGCATTTGATTCCTGTGTAGTTGCGATTTTCAGCCACATTAGAGTCTGCAATAAGTCTGCAAACTGGTCAGAAGTCAGAGTCATTGTCTCTTGCTCCTCTTGGCTTAGACGAAATATTGTAGAATCGGCAATTTTAAAACATGATAAACGTTCAGCGCATAATATTAGTGGCGGCTTATTCAAATTAGATTTGTTTATAAATAACCAAAAAGACTGGAACGATACACAAATAACCCGCGCATAGAAGAGAGGAGCTTACGACGACGTTTCGGTCAGACTTGGACCATTTACAAAGTCACAGTGTGCGGGTTATTTGTGTATCGATTTGTTTATAATTGAGGCTATCGTGCATAGCCTAAAACCGGACTCATATACGAATGGTTTGGATTGTGTTGAATGTTGTAGTTCCACACCGAGGAATTAGGGCGTGTTTTCCTGCTTATTCTTGATAGTTAAACCAGCGTCTGCTCAAGAATCTTGTAGGATAAACTATGGCCGTCTTCCTAGGGATAAACTACAAAAATCTACGTTTAGTTTCAAGTGAGTCGGCCGTGAAATTGATTTTTTAATGTACGGAAAATTCCTAAGACAATTGCCAGATATATCTATATTCTGAATGTAAAGTCTTTTATATCACATCAAAGTTTGATCGATTTTTTTATATGGAAAACTCTACCGTATTAGCAAGTCTGCTTAGACCCTATATACGGGTACAGCTATACAAGTAATATCATATATGTGAGTTTCTTACGATAGCCAAGGGGAGGAGGGCAGGGTAACTTATCTTCTCTGGAGTCCTAGTGTTAAGAAACAGTGCAGTTGACATTGAGCAGGATAGGTAAATATGTTGGTAGCAGGTAAATATGTAGAGATCTTCTCTACTGACACTTTCGGGAACATTCTCTGACGTATGATAGTATAGGTTGACAATTAGTTAATATGATTCGTATAATAATACAATGTTACATGTGGCTTGAGTTTGGGGATGTATTAACCACTTTAGATAAAATGATTCCACATGGTAATAGATCAATTTATATCGATTAGATGCGGTTTTGGGCTGACTACTGCGTTTCTTAATATTCTGGTAACTTGCTTTCTGTAAACCTGCAAGATAACCCCCTCCCCTTACTCCGGAAGGGTGTGAGGGGACGGGAGGTGGGGGGGAGGTTGGTGCTGGGGGTCGGTGGTGGCCCTCACTCTATGACATGGGTTGCCACTGATACCTTTTGTCTGACTTCAGAGAATTTTCCCTCTTATCTGTTGCTGTATTGCAACATTGCATAGCTCCTGACGACACATAAGAGTGCGAAAGATCTAGAGCTAAAGATTTTCATCCCCATGTGGCTTTTTATGCACACTATATATATATATATATATATATATATATTATATATATATATATATATATATATATATATATATATAAACGTGACCGGGCTGGGAAAGAAACATGGCTTGTGAACCAGGCTGCCCAGCTTTCGAGGCATTTGTGGTTGAGTGGATAAGAGCGCTGCCTGGGAACCTTGTCCGTCTCTCAGTAGAAGTATCGAACCCTGCTGACTGCAATCTTTGTATATACCTGCTTGTTTTTCTGAGGTGCATTGATATGAAAATCGCCTGTGAGGTCAGAACATACAGGAGATTGAAATAGCTTGAATCCACGAACACACACACATATATATATATATATATATATATATATATATATATATATTATATATATATATATAATATATATTATATATGCAAGGAATTCGCAAGAGCAGGCGAAATATACACAAACACTGATCTCTGGCTGAAGGAGACTCGAACCTACCAACCTTGGAACAAAGTACGTAGTGCTTTACCAATCTACCCACACTGGACCAATACCTTGGAGTCCAGCTTGCGCTAGACTTTGATCCAAGGCAGCCAGCTTTCAGGGAGAAGGCTTACAGCTTTTCATCTCATCCCCTGCATGCATCAGCCTTACTAGAGATATTACCAATGTAAGGAATTCGCAAGAGCAGGCGAAATATACACATTTCAGTGTATATATATTATTTATATATATAAATTAATATAATAATTATATTATATATATATATATGTCGTGCCGAATAGGCAGAACTTGCGATCTCGGCTTAAATAGCAACGCTCATCTTGCCATATAGGACAAGTGAAAATTTGTGTATGCAATAATTTCGCCAAAAGCATTCTGAACCTAGCGAAAAAAATATATTTCACTGTGTTTGTTTAGTATTAAATTATTGTAAACAAATCTAAAATATATTTAGTTGGGTTAGGCTATAATAAATTGTTCTTCTTATAATAAGGTTAGGTAAGTTTTCTAAGCTCCTTTTGGTGCAAAATTATAAATTTTTACATCAACATTAATGAAAAAAATATATCTTTAAACGTATAAAAGAAAATTTTAGAAAGGGCTTAATTTTAAATGAGTTCTTGCTAATTGACCAGTTTTACATATTCGGCACGACATTATATATATATATATATATATATATATATATATATATATATATATATATATATATATATATATATATATATATATATATATATATATATCCATTTATGTGAAGACGCTCGAAAAATGGGAATGGTTTTGTTTATATAGCGGTAGAGCAAAAATTAATACATTGGCTAAAAGATCCTTGATAGATGAGAAAAGTCGGCAAGTTCTAGCTGAAAATCCTCCATGGATCGAAGAGCATAGAGATAAATTAAGTTACCAAAAACTGTGTGGAGGCTGTTGGCAGTGAGGTGCATCTGATGGTCGTAGTGGTGTGGTGGCAGACGAGGTGTAGGTAGTAGTAGTAGTAGTGGTGGTGGTTGAGTCGCATCACGTTATATATGAAGGGTGGTGATGAGTCATATCAGGTTATATTATATATGAAAGATGGTGGTGGTGTTGGTGGTGGTTGTGAGTCACATCAGGTTATATATGAAGGATGGTGGTGGGTAGTGGTGACTGCAGTCACTGCTCTAACTTCAACAAGTAAGTCGACCTACCTCTCGTGCACTTAATAAGCCAAATGTTTGTGGTACATCTCTTCGGTTCCCCCACAAAGACAGTGGAACGCAACTGGTGTCCCGAGTTTCTTCAAGGGAACAAGACGACACCGAACCTTTTCTAAATTCTTTGAATTTCTAGCTAAGCCTCGGGCCAGTTCACCGAATGATCCACTTCGTGAAGATCGTTTCGTCCCTCAAGGAGCCTCTCTTATAACACTCCCGTAATTTATTGTCATTAGTAATTGGCCGTCTTGCGAAATTTCTCTGAAGTGTTTTAAGCTAGCTATTAAAATTCATTATGCTTTTCTTGTGGTTTCTGTTACTGGATTGAAACACACGTCTTGGCCACTAACTTTTAAACACGAGCCTGATTTCTGAACGCATCGAAATATGCATCTGGGGTATGTTATTATTACTATAATAAAAAAGAAACGCTAAACCTACAAGGGTCAAACAGCAATCTGGGGTATGTGTACACACTGGGATTTGCTGAAGAGGATCCCAGAAGGGGTCGAAATATAGATAAATTAACCTCTTGTGTTTGTCTCCATGTGGGTTATGGAGCACTGGGAAGTGTTCATTACACTTTATTCATACACTAGGTCAAGGAGATAACGCTTCACTGTGTATATACGTTAAAAGATATACATCTGGCGGTCTACATATAGAGATACAAATCTTTTAGTGTCTATACGTACTGCTTTGTAAGCACAAAATCACTGGCTTATTTCACCTTTTTTTTATATAGTTTTTCTTTTTCTTGGAGTATAAAAAGAAAAAAAAATAATTTGTATCAACGCAAGCGTGGATAAACGTATATTGCACTTTTTTTTTTCCTCAACAAACCGGCCGTATCCCACCAAGGCAGGGTGGCCCAAAAAGAAAAACGAAAGTTTCTCTTTTTAAATTTAGTAATTTATACAGGAGAAGGGGTTACTAGGCCTCTTGCTCCCAGCATTTTAGTCGCCTCTTACAACACGTATGGCTTACGGAGGAAGAATTCTGTTTCACTTCCCCATGGAGATAAGAGGAAATAAACAAGAACAAGAACTAGAAAGAAAATAGAAGAAAACCCAGAGGGGTGTGTATATATGTGCTTGTACATGTATGTGTAGTGTGACCTAAGCGTAAGTAAAAGAAGCAAGACGTACCTGAAATCTTGCATGTTTTGGCTGGACGGTAGTACCTTCCTGGGCGGCACATATGAATAATAAATAAATAAATATTTGTTGGAACTGCCAAAATGGATGAATTTACCATCGCGTATTTTCAACTAACTCACAAATTTGGGTAAAACTTAGATGAAGTTTCTGTCTGTCCTGTACCAGTTTCAACTCACTAGTGACTTGATGCCGATCCAGGATGGACCGAAAAGTCATCCGAACTTCATGTCTAAATGGTGCGTTAATTGAGAATTGTTTCAGCCACGGAATTGTGACATTTTCTCTTCATCACGCTTGTTCCTTCTTCAGTGAGAGGAAGCCTGTGTGCTGTGATAGTGTTGCTGGTAGTGGCTGTGGTGGAGCCACAGGCGTGCCAGGCCAGGTCCGCCCACAGGATCCTCAGGTCAACCCACCGGGGCGTCTGGGGTGTCCAGCGAGGTCAGCAACACCAGCTGGAGTCCAGAAGCGTCAACCTCAGTGATCAACAAGAAACAATGGTCAACAATCCTGGAAAACAAGATTTAGAAGTAGCAGGATTGTAAGTACTTATAAGTAATTTGTATTGACAGATGGATCGATGCATTTTGAATATATATGTAAAAAGCATACAGTAGTGACATTTCGTGATGGCTTCACTTTTCTATTCTCAATTTTCTCCTGCTAATCCTTCTAAGACCTAGTTCCTAGGCCTACACTCTTGCGCTACCCTCCACAGGATGGAAATCGGGTGTGCAAGTTCTACTCTTTACATTTCTTTAATTTGTCGAGTAGGTTTAATTTTAGTGTCTCTCTCTCTCTCTCTCTCTCTCTCTCTCTCTCTTCTCTCTCTCTCTCTCTCTCTCACTCTTTCCTCAGTGACTCTAATATGGTGATAATGTAATGTAAGATAAGACGTAATTCTGTAATCCCTAAAGATAAAAAAAAATATTTAACACTCCAGTTGAAATATATAGAAAAAAAATGAAAAATATATAGAAAAAAACAAGATATAGAAAAACGTTAATTTTGCCTATGTCCTCTATTACGTCAATTCAGTTATGCTGGTGAAGCTGCTCTTGATCCCAGGAGTTGGGGGCTAACCTTCCCTTCTTCGAATTAAATCTGCTTGAGGCGAGACAATAATAATAATAATAATGGAATTTGCTTTGTACAGGGTGAAGGGCAACGATACCTTCAGTACCATGGCTGTGAGGGTGTCTGACGTCAACGCTACTCAGTAAGTATCCCACACGTCTCTATACTAGCCGACGGGGGATAGAGCTTCCATCACTCCTTGCGGCTGAATGACCCACGTGGGTTTAGTGCTTCAACAATTAAAGTACGATACATACACCTCCAGACGCAGCCCGTTCTCTTAATAAAGTTCGTTTTCATACGCAAGTCGCATCAATACGTTTATTTTGCATGCTCAACGTAAACATTCACATCTTACCTGTTTACTCAGGAGGTACTGGGAAGATGGAGGGAATATTTTGAGGAGCTTTTATATGTTGTTGAAAGGAAGATTGTGATTACATGCACTGGGCAAGGAGATATAGCATCTTGAAGAACCAGATGTAAGTTAAAGTGAGGTGCGTGAGGCAGTAGACAAAAAAATATTGGGTAAAACAGCTATAATAGATGGTATCAAGACAGGAATGTTTTTGAGTGGTTGGTGTATTTGTTCATTATATGTATGAAATAATGGAGGGTGCATAGAGATTGGCAGAGAATAAGCCTGTACGGTTAGTTATTATTGAAAGAATTAAGGGTAAGAGAGAAAGTAGAATTCTAGAGGAACAGGATGATTTGGGGAAGGTAGGGGATGTGTAGCTACAGTATTTACACTGATGCATATTTAGATAAACGTAAGGAAATTTTTCTCATGATTATGGATTCAAAGAAAGCATATGATAGGGTGAATATTAGAGCAATGTTGCAGATGTTGCAAATATGAGGAGCAGTAGAGAAGTTAAAAGCTTTTATATAGATAGTAAGGCTCAGGTTAGGGTATGAAGGAGAGAGAGGTGAGTTATTTTACAGTAAAAATGGGCCTTAGACAGAAATTTATGATATAAATATGATTGTTTAACATATTTATGGATGGAGTTGTAAAACAAATGAATGTTAGGATGCTGGAGAGAGGTGTGGATTAAAAAGAAACGAGTACGATACACGATACACAAATGGAATTGTCACAATTGCTCTTTGTTGATGACAGTGCTTTTGAGAGATTCTGAAGGGAAATTGCAGAGATCAGTGGATAAATTTAGGAGGGTATGTAAAAGAAGGAACTTAAAAGTGAACATAGGAAAGAGCAAGGTGAGGATATTGACAAAAAAATCTAGGCAATGAACGACTAGATTAGAGTTGAGGAAATGACTGTGCACTGGTACTTGGGAGTGGACTTGCCGGTAAATGGGTCTATGCAAGACGAGGCGAACCACAGAATTGACGAAGGAAAAAAGGTGGGTAGTGCTTTGAGTCATCTGTGGAGATATAACTTTATCCGTGGAAGATAAAATGAGAATGTACCAGAGTATGTTGGTACCAACACTGTTATATGGATGCGATGCATGGATTTTTAACTTTGGAGCATGGAGGAGGCTGCAGGTAGTGGAGATGTCGTGTCTGAAGACAATATATGGGTGAATATTATGCAAAAAAAAAAAAAAAAAAAAAAAGAAGAAAAAAAAAGAACTTATAAATTAGAAGGTGTAGGGTTACTGCGAGTATTTTCATGAAACGGCTGGTATGTATAATAATAATAATAATAATAATAATAATAATAATAATAATAATAATAATAATAAATAATTAGTTCTCACCATATTCATTCCCTCCTTCACAGGTCTTTGGGAATAATGGTAAATGGAGACAACACAACGGGAATACTGACGAAGAAGGAACGTAACGGAAGGGTGAATAGGCAGGTGGTGATAATTAGTAAAAAAACAGAGATGGAGAAGAGAGGAGCAAAAGAAGGAAGGGGATTGAATGGAGACAGGGAGACAGAGGTGGAGAAAGGGGGAAGGCAGGAAACGCACAGAATGAACGCAGGGATGGAGACACGAAGAATGGGGAGAAGGAAGAAGAGACAACTAATAGGGATAAGAGAGGTAAAGAGGAAGAAAAGAGAAAAGATGATGGAGACAAAACGTGGGAGAACATGAGCAAGAAGAGACATTTAAGAGATGTAGAAGAGGAAAGTGAGTCAAAAGAAGAGGATTCCACAATAGAAACAAAGAAGAAAAACAGTAGAAAGAAGGAGGAGGAAGAAGAGGAGAAAGATGGAGAGGAAAACAAGGAGGACGAAGACAAAGACGCCAGTCGTGACTGTGAAGAAGAAAAAACAAGTAAGAGAAGAGCAAAATCAGAGGACAAGGAAAAACAAGACAGACGACAAGAAAGAAGAAAAGACAGACGACAAAAAGAAGAAAAGACAGACGACAAAAAAGAAGAAAAGCCAGACGATAAGAAAGAGCAAATGACAGATGACAAGAAAAAAGAAAAGACAGACGACAAGAAAGAAGAAAAGACAGACGACAAAAAAGAAGAAAAGACAGACGACAAAAAAGAAGAAAAGCCAGACGATAAGAAAGAGCAAATGACAGATGACAAGAAAAAAGAAAAGACAGACGACAAGAAAGAAGAAAAGACAGACGACAAAAGGAAAAATAACGACAAAAAAGAGGAAAAGATAGACGACAAAAAAGAGGAAAAGATAGACGACAAAAAAGAGGAAAAGATAGACGACAAAAAACAAGAAAAGATAGACGACAAGAAAGAAGAAAAGACAGACGACAAGGAAGAAGAAAGGACAGACGACAAGAAAGAGGAAGAAGAAACCATACCCCCGGACAGACGACAAGAAAGAGGAAAAGGCGGACGATAAGAAAGAAGAAAAGACAGACAAAAAAGAAGAAACAGCAGACAAGAAAGAAGAAACAGCAGACAAGAAAAAAGAGAAATTAGAAGAAAGAAGAGGAAAATCACAAACATCAGCTAATCTGGACGAGTGTTCACAAACATCAGGTGATCAGGGCAAGTGTTTACAATCACCAGCTGAATCTGATTGGCATTTACCAAAGTGACCAATAAAGAGGTAGAAAACTTTACTCCATGGGAAAAGCGTTTTAAAGAACATAACAACTAAGAAGCACTGCAGTAGGCCTACTGACCCACGCTAGGCAAGTCCAACTTAGACCAAACACCACCCATTCGTATACCCATCCAACCCCAAGTTTTCGCCTTACTGACACTATCTGGGAGTTTGTTTTGGATGTCTACAACTCTATTGACAAATTTATTTGTGTCCAGTGCTTGTGTAGATTATTATTATTATTATTATTATTATTATTATTATTATTATTATTATTATTATTATTATACTTACAGAAAGAGGAAATGTGGTTGTATAGAGGTATTTGACCTGTATGTTTCCAGTTTTATGTATTGTTGAGGAATATTAAAAGAAGCATTTGCTTCAGGTGCAGATTATATGGATTTTATATCGGTTACATTAAAGGAGAATCGCCAAACTCGTACGAGGCATACAACGCCTGGAGAATGTAAGCCTTTTTATTGTAAGGGAATCAAGTCCGATCAAGGTCGGATCAAGAACCCATCAAAGGCATCAAAGCATCCTTCCTTTCCCCTTTTTTGAGGGGAAACTATCTAGCAAAACTGTGGACTTTGTAAAAAAACATTCCTGACATTTTTCACCTCATGTGTAGAGTATAATATAGCTGGTTCTTACGTCTTTCAATTTAAGAATGTTTATAAAAGCTATATTGTGGCTAAGAGCAGATGTGTACCTTCAGCTCCATTTCTGCAAGATTAACACGCAGGGTCAAATATGTTTGCAATAACAGTCGTGGATACGGCCATAAATCCATCATCGACTCAAGCTTGTTATGCTTCCTGGGTTACAACGGAAGAGGTTTTTCAAACTTTGCTGAAACCAGAAGTTTTTGTCTGCAGAACTTTTTATTGTCTGAGAGATTAGTAAAATGCTTGGAGTATAATTTTCTTCCACAGTGATAAAATAGCAAATTAAGATATAGAAATTGGAGTGTGTTACACTACTTGCACTCAAATGTGCCTATACATTTAAGAGTTAGACACTAGCTGCGAGCAGTTCTGTATCATCCATTAACAGGTATAGAACTGTAGACAGTGGAGTCAGAGACCACTTTTTTGTAAATTCTTGCTCACAATGGCCTTCAGTGTATGACACCAGTCGGTCCATCTATTATCCTTCTGTCCTGCAGGAAGAGTCACCTGTCTTTGGCGTATCCAACAAAATTACCAGACTTGGATGCCACTGCTGCCCAACGACGGCTGGGTCACAGGTACTGATAGGAGTCTGTATCACCAGTTAATGTAGACCTAACTAAATGTAAACTTTGCCAATTGAACCCTGGTCCAATTCTTTAGATCAAGAGCCTCACACCGGCATCAAGGAACTTCTATGGAAGGGATTAGCAAGAGGTGTTCTCACGTCATAATCGCAGGTAAGCAACTGGCCTATTTACATGTGCATAACTAGCAAATTGGCATCTACACAGCCCAATAACAATCCGACCCTTCTTTAACAACGCTGAAAGATGGAAGGCAATCAGAAAAGGCATTCTCATATCGCATGGCAAGACGCTCAGGCAAACCACAAAGACGGAGTCCTATATTAATTTACCAAGGACCCCAATGGAAATAAGTCACTTTGTCTGACTTTTGTAGGTTATCCTAGGTAATTTACACATGTATGATAATCGTACTTCTGTGTACTTGTGGCTAAATAAAGATACCAACACAGTACAGCTGGGCAAAACAATAACGTTCATGGCTCCTATGAAACTCCACGGACATTGCTCGCCATGCTGACTGATTTTCTAGGACAAAGGGAGCGATCTCCCGTTTGTATTACAGAAACTAAATGACCGATTTTAATGAAACTCACACAGGTTGTCCTGACATGCGTGACACATGCCACACCATAGCGCTCTAAAATGGAGATTTTTTAATTATGACTGATAATTAAAATATGTTGAAAATTTTAGATAGAAATTAATAGCTCCTAAACCACTAAAGGGAACTAAACAATAAATCACATACATTAGGTTAAGATCATTATAAAAGTATGTTTAAGTTTTTAGCTTGATAGATAAATTTCTTAATGGTCCATAAGTCACAATTTCAGAAATTTTTACAGATAAAATTTGTAAACTGGAGCCAAACAGGTGCCCAAAAAATTATGCCAATGAGAAGAGACATTTTCCAGTCATCATACAATGCAATAAATCTAAGTTAGATAGCTATGTTTGTAAGTTGACGAACTTGCACTTACACAAATAAGTGTCAGGGGCCCGAGACTGTTCAACTGTCTCCCAGCATACATAAGGGGGATTACCAACAGACCCCTGGCAGTCTTCAAGCTGGCACTGGACAAGCACCTAAAGTCGGTATCTGACCAGCCGGGCTGTGGCTCGTACGTTGGTTTGCGTGCAGCCAGCAGTAACAGCCTGGTTGATCAGGCTCTGATCCACCAGGAGGCCTGGTCACAGACCGGGCCGCGGGGGCGTTGACCCCCGGAACTCTCTCCAGGTAAACACTGCCTAAACTTATAAGGTGTCTTCATTCTCATTAACTGCATCAGGCTAAAGGTTTGAAGTCGATTAAAAGATGCATTCTCCATTTAGTGACTTCATTTCAAAAAAATTGCATATCAAGCGAAACGTTGATATACATAGTTTCTGTCCCAGCAGCTGGGTTAAGCACTGGCATTTTTTCCTTCCTTCGTGAAGCCTAGTTTCAGTCTATCCTATCTTCCACACTCAACCTCCCAAAAGGGTCTTTTCTTACCATAGGAGGCTACGAAAGGATTGTTAGGAATTTTCTACCCGAAGGGTAACGCAATAAACTGAGTACGTCTTCATTAACTGTGTCGTATTTCCATTCGGGTCCTTTAATCTTCTCCATCAGGGTGCGAACCACAACAGTCGACTAACACCTACTTACTGTTGGGTGAATAGGAAAAGCAGGTTTAAAGAAACATACCCAGCATTTCACCTGCGCCGGGATCGATCCCCAGTCTCTCGGTGTGTGAACTTGGGATGCTACCACCTGAGCCACGAACACCCCACCCCCCTCCCATAACTACACCGACACCACATATTGTTCCTGTGAGCATCATCAGATAGAACACAGTGTGCGCTGCCCTTTGCCCAATACGTGAGTAATTCCAGCAGGTGTCGAGTTTCTTGCTCCATAAGGGAGGTTCCTTCATGCTGGTGAGGGGTTCTTGATCCAAGGTCAACCCCCTTCCTTGGATCGAACTCGATTGACTCAAATTCTCTAGGCGCTACATCACCTTTAGTGGTTAAGCACTTTCCCCTCAATATAATAATAATAATATTAAAATAATTTTCTAGTATATTGTATAGTATTAAATTCATTAGGAAACGCTAAGCCGGTAGTGGGACTAAAGAGCTTGGTAGGCAATATGGTTTGATCAGAAGAAGAGGAAGGCAGCTTCAATTCCTTAGATCAAGAGCCCCTCTCTAGCATGGAGGCACCTCCAATGAAAGGAACTAATGAAACAAGTGGTTCACCTGCCTTGGGCGCCATGACACCTGCTTCTTCACCTCTTTTCTCTTTTTTTGCAAAATTTGCAGAGAATTTTGATGCTAAAACTAATATATATGACATATTTATTGTTGCCTATGATTCTTGACAGCATAAATTAACCTTTCCTCTAGTGAACGATGCAATCTGAGCTTCGTGACGAGAGGTTCAGGCAAGTGTCACCGCCGTCGCTCTCCCAGTGAACCTTAGAATCTCCTATTATTATTATTATCATCATCAAGGGTTAACGCTAAACCCGTAGGGGTCATACAGCGCATGGGGAATGGAAGGCAATCAGACCCGATGTAAAGAAGGAAAGGATTGGTTCGGTTCCTTGGACTAAGAGCCCCTGACCGGTGTCAAGGAACCTTCCTTGGAGGGCTTAATGAACGTGAGGTATGTATATCAGTGGTACTATGTACCAACAAGTGTGTTAAGGCACAATATGCTATTTATGACATTTTACTGAAGACATTTCATCCACCAGAGACTTGTCGGTTCTCAAGTGGGCGAAACGTCGTCCACCAAGAACTTAATTAACCGCACTTTGTGTTTTATGAACAGTGCTCGAAGCAGATGCTTCAGACGCTTCACACCTATAACAACAAGGCTACAGTCTACGATGAGCTACGGGAGAGACGTAACGCTGCTCTGCCAACCTGACACCGGCAACAGGGATAAGAGTTTAATAAGCAACGTGATGGGTGAGGCAGTGATGGTAGCGGTGCTGGTGGCCAGCGTGTTAAGTCTGATCATTGCACTGCCCTTGCTGCAATTTAACCTGGTGAGTGTTAACCATTATTGCAATTGCAGTACAAGTGACGGTTCTTGATGATACGTTAAAGCTGTATGTTGTTTTATTAGCTCGTCTCCAACTCCCCTCAAGGGAGGTTCCTTGATGCTGGTGAGGGGCTCTTGATCTAAGGAATTGGATCTGTGCTCCGGTTCCCTGAATTGAGCCTGAATACCTTCCATGCCCCCACCTGTGCTGTATAATCCTGCGGGTTTAGCGTTCCCCATAATTATAATAATATATCGTCTCCAACTGCATGAAGAATTGTTGAAAGTTTCTCATTAATTTCCACTGAAAATGGGATCAATAGTCTGAATTTTGTGTAATGCCAATCAACGGCACAAGGGTCATTAATGTCCCAATTCGCCTGTTAAATTTCAAAAATACTTTGATTCCTAAACTGGGGATGAAAGTAACGTGTGTACACCGACAGAAGATGCACATATTTTTCAGTACATGTACACCTCTTGGTGCATGCACACTTACTCACCTATTTGTGGTTGCAGGGGTCGAGTCTTAGCTCCTGGCCCCGCCTCTTCACCGGTTGCTACTGGGCCCTCTCTCTCCCCGCTCCATGAGCTTTATCAAACCTCGTCTTAAAACTGTGTATGGTTCCTGCCTCCACTACGTCATTTTCTAGGGTATTCCACTGCCTTACAACTCTATGACTGAAGAAATACTTCCTAATATCTCTCTGACTCATTTGTCTTCAACTTCCAATTGTGGCCTCTTGTTTCTGTGTCCCCTCCCTGGAACATCCTGTCTTTGTCCACCTTGTCTATTCCACGCAGTATTTTATATGTCGTTATCATGTTCTCCCCTGACCCTCCTGTCCTCCAGTGTCGTCAGGCCGATTTCCCTTAATCTTTCTTCATAGGACATTCCCCTTAGCTCTGGAACTAACCTTGTGGCAAACCTTTGTACTTTCTCTAGTTTCTTGACGTGCTTTATCAAGTGCGGGTTCCAAACAGGTGCTGCATACTCCAGTATGGGCCTGACATACACGGTGTACAGTGTCTTGAACGATTCCTTACTAAGGTATCGGAATGCTGTTCTCAGGTTTGCCAGGCGCCCATATGCTGCAGCAGTTATCTGATTGATGTGTGCTTCCGGAGACATGCTCGGTGTTATACTCACCCCAAGATCTTTCTCCTTGAGTGAGGTTTGCAGTCTTTGGCCACCTAGCCTTTTACTCTGTCTGTGGTCTTCTGTGCCCTTCCCCTATCTTATGACTTTGCAATTTGGCAGGATTAAAATTTTCGAGAAGCCATTTGCTGGACCAGGTGTCCAGTCTGTCCAGGTCTCTTTGAAGTCCTGCCTGGTCCTCATCAGTTTTAAATTCTCCTCATTAACTTCACATCATTGCAAACAGGGACACTTCTGAGTCTAACCCTTCCATCATGTCGTTCACATATACCAAAAATAGCATGGTCCTAGGACCGACCCCTGTGGGACCCCGCTCGTCACAGGTGCCCACTGTGTTTACATCATTAGTACCATGACTCGTTGTTGCCTCCCTGTCAGGTATTCTCTGATCCATTGCAGTGCCTTCCTTTATATGCGCCTGTTGCTCTAGCTTCTGCACTAATCTCTTGTGAGGAACTGTGTCAAAGGCCTTTTCTTGCAGTCCAAGAAGATGCAATAAAACCCACCCCTCTCTCTCGTGTCTTACTTCTGTTATTTTATCATAAAACTCCAGAAGGTTTGTGACACAGGATTTGCCTTCCAATGAATCCGTGCTGGTTGGCATTTATACTCTTGTTCAGTTCCAGGTGCTCCCCCCACTCTCCTCCTGATAATCTTCTCCATAATTTTGCATACTATACACGTCGTGACACAGGTCTATAGTTTAGTGCCTCTTTTCTGTCTCCTTTTTTAAAAATGGGAACAAACATTTGCCGTCTTCCATACCTCAGGTAGTTGCCCAGTTTCCAGGGACGTGTTGAAGATTGTGGTAAGTGGCACGCACAACATATCTGCTCCCTCTCTAAGGACCACGGGGAGATGTTGTCCGTCCCTTTGCCTTTGAGGTATCGATGTCCCTTAGCAGTTTCTTCCCCTCCTCCTCATCTGTATGTATGTCGCCCAAACCCACTTGTTGGTGTATTCCTTGTGGTGTCCCCATCTGGTCTGTCCCCCCAAAAGTCCTTCCTGCTCTACTGTAAATACTTCCTTAAATCCGGTGTTGAGCTCCTCACATACCTCTTGATCGTTTCTTGTGAGTCTCCACCTTCTTTCCTCAGCCTTATCACCTGGTCCTTGACTGTTGTCTTCCTCCTAATGTGGCTATACAGCAGTTTCGGGTCAGATTTGACTTTCGATGCTATGTCGTTTTCATACTGTCGCGGGCCTCCCTCCTTATCTGTGCATACTCGTTTCTGGGCCCTTTTACTAATCTCCCTTTTTTTCCTGGGTCCTATACCTCCTGTACCTTTTCCATTCTCTGTTGCACTTAGTTTTTGCCTCCCCACACCTTCGGGTAAACCAAGGACTCGTTTTGGTTTTTCCTATTATTTCTGTTTCCCCTTTGGGGAAAAAAAACTTTCCTCTGCCTCCTTGCACTTTGTTGCCACATATTCCATCATCTCGTTTACTGATTTTCCTACCATTTCTCTGTCCCACTGAACCTCCTGCAGGAAGTTTCTCATACCTGTGTAGTCCCCCTTTTATAGTTTGGCCTGTCCCCTTCAGTTCCTGTTACCTTCTCCACTTTTTAAACTCTACTATATAATCAAAACTCAGAACCACGTGATCGCTAGCTCCAAGGGGCCTCTCGTAAGTGATGTCTTCAATGTCTGAAACTGCTTCAGGGTGAACACAAGATTCAGCTTGCTGGCCCATCCTCCCCTCTCTCTCGGTTGTGTCCCTGAAAAAATTTTTGATGCATGAGGTTTTCAAGTACCACATCCATCATCTTGGCTCTCCATGTTTCGGGACCCCCATGTGGCTCCAGGTTTTCCCAGGGCTATCTCCCTGTGGTTGAAATCGCCCATTACCCGTTTAAATTTGCTCTGCTCGAGTGAGCTCTTCTTGCCACCTCAGCCAGTGTGTGTCCACCATCACCCTGTTGTTTTCTTCGTACTCCTCTCTTGGCCTCCTGCAGTTTTTGTGGTGGGTTATACATCACTCCAATGACTATTTATGTTCTCCGGACTGAATTGTACCTACAATGTAGTCTCTTTCTCCAATCATGTCCATGCCTTCCATTTTCTCAAATCCCCATCGGTGTTTTATGAGCAGTGCAACCCCTCCCCCCCTCTACTCCTTCTATCTTTCCTCAGGATCTGATATCCCGTTGGGAAGATTGTGTCTGTTATTGTCTCAGCGAGTTTTGTTTCTGTGACTGCTATGATGTCTGGGGATTTTTCACTGATTCTTTCGTTCCACTCCTCATGTTTATTCATTATTCCATCCGCGTTTGTGTACCAAACTTTCAGTTTCTTTTCTGTCATTGTGGTCATGCAAGAATATTGGGGTTGGGGGAGCGAGAACCTTGGTGGGGGCCTATATGGGGCTGTGGTGTAGGTGGGGTTTGTGATGATGGGGGTGGGGTCAGAATGCCCATAAGGGACAGCTGTTGGGGTGAGGTTTTTGATATGGGGGTTGGTGGCAGAGGGAACAGTGAGTGGGTTGTAGTATAGGTTGCTCAGTTGCGTTGTGTGTGTTTTGTGTGTGTTTTTGTGTGTGTTTTGTGTGTGTTTTGTGTGTGTTTTGTGTGTGTTTTGTGTGTGTTTTGTGTGTTTTTGTGTGTGTTTTGTGTGTGTTTTGTGTGTGTTTTGTGTGTGTTTTGTGTGTGTTTTGTGTGTGTTTTGTGTGTGTTTTGTGTGTGTTTTGTGTGTGTTTTGTGTGTGTTTTTGTGTGTTTTGTGTTTTGTGTGTGTTTTGTGTGTGTTTTGTGTGTGTTTTGTGTGTGTTTTGTGTGTGTTTTGTGTGTGTTTTGTGTGTGTTTTGTGTGTGTTTTGTGTGTGTTTTGTGTGTGTTTTGTGTGTGTTTTGTGTGTTTTTGTGTGTTAGTGTTATATGAATATGATACGCACGCCTCTTGGTGTATGTATATATGAAGTTTGAATCTTGCTCTGCTGATTTACTGTATGTAAAGATATTTAGGTTTGTTTTATTCCTTTTCAACTAACCATTGTGACATGTTTATTGTGGAAGCCTGGCAGACTTGCTGGTGATGTGTCCTACCCTCAAGGGAGGTAGGTTTCATTATGCCGAACGGGGGGGTCTTGATATAAGAGATGGCTCTTTAGGTTCCTTGATGCCGGTGAGGGGGAGTGGCATTCTTGATCTAATAAACTGGACCAGTGTTTCCCTTGGATCGAACCTGAATACTTTCCATTTTCCCAGACGCTGTATGAACTACGGGTTTAACACTTCTTATGCATGTTTTATTTTTAATTGATATTAGTTTAGTTTATAGTTATATTTACGGCTAGTGTGCTGCCTTTCTTTTTCCAAACGATGTGCAGTATCAGCTGTATGACCTAGACTAGTTTTTTGTGATAATACTAGCGAATAAAACTGGTAATTTTTACTTCATTTTGGTTCGGCGCTTTCTTCATAATATTAGTGCCATACAAATTTACCAGTTACGATTTTCTGAAGGCATTGTAACCAACCATTTCGCATCACATTGAGGTAGGCAGTTGTTTAACCGGCAAATAGTGCCGATAAGTTTGGTAAACTGACAGCTGGCAGAGCCAGATTTTCTGAGCGTCTCCCTCAGTGTTGAATTTTAAAGGCATGCTTGACAAAGCTCAGTGGTGAACGCAACGTCGTGATAAGACTTGCCCTGCATATTTACCCTATGGAGGCATTATCTGTGTGTAATTACACAACGTAGTAGTCTACACATTCCTGTATACATGAACAGTGAAGTAATGGTATAACACGGTGTGGCATGCCGAGAGTATGTTGCAATTTATTGGGCGTATGTCACACTCCCAGCTGCCTCCAACCAGCGAACCGGGTGGTAAGGTTTTAACGATCAGTGGGATATCCGTTGTTAAATCAGTTACTTGGTTCATTGACCACTCAAAGACAAACCCGCCAAAGCTGAAGTAAAGTGTTTCACTTGCGGTCAGCATTGGCAGACTTGCCTACCTGCTGGTTGAGTACAGTGCACTCTGCCTTCTGCTTTGCCATCTGTCACCGTGGTGTACACTTATTATTCTATCTGTACATAGTGTACATATCTGTATATAGTGGGTGAAGGCAAAATATACATTATAGTCTGCTGTTGAGTTTTTGCTCCAATTCCCATTACGACCAAGTCTCACAGGCCATTCTTTACCAGTGTTTGTAATACACGGTTGTTGCAGCGCATACCGGCCTGTCGTGTGGGTGGTTGCCTTGATGCTAGTAAAGGGATATTTATCTAAAGCACTGGAACTACACTTCCCTTCTATGGATCAAACCCAGTTACCTTCCTATTCCCAGGCACTTTATTACCTTTACGGATTTAGCGCTTCCCCATTAATATAGTGCTAATTTATTGGTTTAATACTAATTCTTCTCGAAAACCTTTGGAAACCCTAAAAAAACATTATTCACATTAAGTGATAATTACAGGGTCAGTCTGAGAGGGAGACGGCTACACAGGATCCCTTGATCGATCATGAAGTAAACGAAGAGGCTGAGCTCGTCGACCTAGTGAGGGAGAGCCTAGTTATGCAGAGTGGGGCTCTTAGTGTTCAGGAGCAAGAGGAAGCGGCAGCGACAGATTACCATCAAGTGGGTCATGGTGTTGGTGCCTTGTAATATGTTAAGAGATGTTACACATATACGGGGCTGGGTTGTCATAATGAGGTAGGCGTGTAGGCTGCTCTCGTTGATCCTAGCTTCATTTAAATAAGTTGCACTGAAAGTTATATGGTTTAGACTAGCATTTGGCTCAATCGATTACTTACTCTATTTTTGCCATTTTTTTTATCAAGTTAAGTAATTCACAGAGTGCAAAGTTGATACAATAAGCTTTGGCAGTCTGACTGATCCTGCTTCCCCAGAACTAGGTTCTGGGGGTGCGGCTGCCCTAGGTGAAAGGCAACAAGCAAGATGTTATTCTGCTTTTCAGTTTCTTCCCTCCAAGAAAGGCCCCCCTCTCCTTGATGCTCATAAAGGGATCTTCCGCAGAGGGACTGGAACTACCCTTTCTTAGGATCAAGCCTAGTTACCTCCCATTTTTAAGCCCTCTTATTACTTAACGGATTGAACCCCCACCCCATTTTTTTTCTTAAGTACAATAATTGTCTTACGTCCACAAATATATCTTCCAGTAGCACATAATTACCTGGAAGAATATCTTTATTGTAAGGTGGAGGTGGTGGGTGCTGCTGTGACGGAGGAAGACTTGAGTGACCCACTGGAGTACTCTGATGAGCTGGAGGGTCTGATGGACACAGTGGGTAGTGACCCAGCTGACCCCGACGCTGTGGCCTTCCTCCTGCCACTCAGAGGTCACACTGGTAATCTCGGCATAAGGTGAATCACGTGCAGGAAAGGAAAGGGGGTGTCTTGTTCAGGTAATGGACCTGCTCTCTCCTTCCTTGCATAGAACCTGAATGGTTTTCATCCTCTCCCCTTCCTTCCCAGGCGTTGTATGGTACCTCTGGTTCAGTATTCCCCCGCCTCCCCATGAATAGTATAATGAAGATTAATAAATATTTATTTGAAGTAACAAAATTGTTTTAGGTGGTTTACCGTTGTAGATTCCTATGTTAATGTACAAAGAGTAAGGCAAGGAAGATTATAGTTGTACAGGGTGACTGAGGTAAAACAGTATTGCATTTTTAAAAGGTCAACTATTTTTTAAATTTTCTTGGATATGTGCGGCATGAGCAATTTTTAATTTCCTCTCAATATAGGTATTAAGAATTATTCCTTATAGTGTGTGTACTGTTTATCTTTGTTCAACTGAATATATATATTTTTGTGCCCATACAGCATGTAGGCCGTATCAATATTGAGCGAGTATGTTGGATGTCATCAAAGTAATGTGTACTAGTTCATTAACTGTGGTGAGGACCAGATCTGGATATGAGACGACAGAAGTTGTCACCTGCAAAGCAAACTGGTTTAAATTCCAAAAGGTTTTAAGTATGTCACTGATGGAGATGAAAAATAATAGGACCATGAACGCTGCCTGTTGTTAGGATGAGTTCAAGCATTGTCAGTAATGATCACGTGTTGGTCTATGGTTAAGGTAGGCTTTTATGTACTGCAAACCATAGCCTCTCATCTGTGTATTACTTTAACGTGATCTCGTGCACTTTTGTCCAGGATAAGCCTTAAATTAACATCGTATTTTTGGATTTTTTTTTTTCATCGAATGTGAACTACATGGCACTAAAATTTCAATAGGGTCATGAGTGCAGTGGGCAAACATTGCTCCACAGATCGGGATGGGCTTTTACAAGCGCCAAGGAACAGCAACAACTGTCGAAAAAAACTCCCAATTTTTTTAAGACTTTTTAATAATGAACTCTGTACAAGTGTGTAGCATGTGCGATGTATTAACATACGGCCTTTGTGTCTTAGTTACGGTCGTCGCCTGAAGCAGATACTGGAGACTGCAGCAGACTCTGCAAGGCAGGCAGCTGCGGCAGAGAAGGGCCCTCACGCTATAAACAGAAGCTCCAACGTGTTCCTACCCACCAGCGTCCTTGTCAGGGATTCCCAAAGTGACCCAGATATAGCTAGGTGAAGAATCTTGGTGTCTTTTGTATGTAACACTCGCCACTGTTAGACAAAGACCACTCTTAATACGTACCCAAAGTAGTTAAGCCGCTTAACCATTCTTATCCCTTTCTGGTTACCCACTACCTTTTTTCACTTCCATTTTGTCATTAATAATGACCTAAAAAATGCAAAATGTGAATAACATTTTTGATACAGGGTGCTCATACTATACCTAGGTAATATATCAATACCATTTTGTGGAAATCATTAACACTAAATGCGTTAGTTTTAAGTATTAAGGGTGTGAAAATGTTATAAGTAGACAGTTTTGTGCACCTACTCAGGAAGTTGACCCAGCACTTCTACGAGGTGCACGGCACCACCCGCTACTTCGGCTACCTGACGGACGAGGAAGCTCTGACGGTAGCTCACTGGGCCAGAGCCAAGGCTCCAGGTAAATTGCTTAAATTTCCTCTTTAGAGATTTTGATGTAAAATTGTTTAATGACTACTGAATTACAATTGGGTCATTTAACTTGGATACCACCAGTCAGGAATAATTTAATACCTAAAAGAGGTATTACAATATTAATGGGGGAACTGTGAGCCCGTAAACGCCATCTGTATTTGGGAAATGGAAGCCAATTATATTTGCTCCGACTTAAAAAAAAAATTAAAGGGTTAAAGTGAATTATGGTAATATACAGACTTTTCTGCATATATATCCTTTGGTTTAGATCTTTCAATCGCAATTCAACATCTGGCTGGGCGAATCCCAGAAGAAGTTAAACTTTTCTTTTTCGGAGCCTCACTGTGTGCGTTGAAGAAGGATGGGGGAATCAGACCCATTGCGGTTGGAAACACACTTCGCCGTCTCGTGGCCAAAGCAGCAGTAAGAAACATTCGCCTAGAAGCTGCCAGTTTACTCCAGCCACACCAACTGGGCTTTGGGGTCCCTCAAGGCAGTGAAGCTGCAGCTCATGCGGCAAGGGCCTACATCAGGGACCTACCAGAAGACAAGGCTGTAGTCAAACTTGATTTTAGAAATGCCTTTAATATGGTAAAGAGAAATACTGTCTTGCCAGCTGTTCGGGATCGCTTCCCCAGTCTTTTTCCCTTCATCTCAACTGGCTACAGCAAACCCTCAATTCTTTTGTTTGGAGAACATGAAATTCAATCATCAGAAGGTGTTCAGCAGGGTGACCCACAGATGGCTCTAAGTCTTCTGACGGCGTAGGATTCGCAGCAGTGTTTCCGGACAGCGTCGTACGAGGGCATTTACTATCTTCGGCTAGTATTTTTACTGCTGAATTGTATGCCATCCTTACAGCACTTATCCGTATTGCATCTATGCCTGTGTCATCATTTGTGGTTATCTCAGACTCCCTTAGTGCTTTACAGGCTATACAGAAATTTGATACACCTCACCCCTTAGTCCTCCGTATCCAACTTTGGCTACACCGCATCTTACCAAGCATAAAGATACTGTTTTTTGTTGGGTCCCTGGTCATGTTGACGTACAGGGCAATGAACAGGCAGACACTGCTGCGCGGTCAGCAGTACATGACCTACCAGTTTTATGTAGAGGTATTCCATTTACGGACTATTTTGCTGCAATATCTTCCCAACTTCACACCCGTTGGCAACAACGTTGATCTACTATGCTCGGCAACAAACTTCAATCTATTAAACCGAGTATAGGTTACTGGCCGTCTTCTTATCACCAGTGTCGAGGTTGGGAGACTACTCTCTCCCGTCTTCGCATTGGCCATACTCGTCTTACTCATGGATATCTCATGGAGAGGCGCCCTGCTCCTCTCTGTGAGAATTGCCAAGTTCCATTATCAGTCAGCCACATTCTGTTGGACTGCCCACTTTATCAACGAGCACGCAGAATTTACCTCCGTCGTCGTCTTCGCTCTGCTGCTCTCTCTTTACCTTCCCTTCTTGCTGATGGACCCACCTTTCATCCAGACACATCTCATTGACTTTTTGACAACAACTGACTTACTTCACAAATTCTGATACCTTCAGCCCTTTCTACTTCAATCTCTTGCTACCCTCTACCCCAGTACTATCCCCTGCCCCGCTGTTTTCTGTAACCTACTGATCATCCCTCCTCCCTTCTGCCATCCAATACCCTCGCTTCCTTCCCTACCCTGCAGCGCTGTATAGCCCTTGTAGCTTAGCGCTTCTTTTTGATTATAATAATAATGAAGAGTCCCTGGTAGGGGACCTACAACTGGTGAAAACACAGGGAGAAGACTTGGGACTCATCCTCAATCCCTCCAAGTGTGAAATCATCACAGCAAACCAGGAAATGATCAATGCTGTGCGAAGAATCCTCCCAAAAGTCTCTACTACCACTCCGTCCAACAGCACCCTCCAGGGAGCACCGCTGGGTCACCAGGCCATCGACACAGTCCTCAAGGACAAATTGAATGACCTGATGAGAATGGAGGAGAAAATAAGCAATCTTGATGCCCATGATGCTCTGTATCTCCTCACAAGGTGCCTTACTATTCCAAGACTCACTCACTTCCTGAGGTGTGCACCCTCTTTTGACAACCCAACACTCGACGAATATGACGCACACCTGAGGTCAACCCTTAAGAAGGCACTGAACCTGTCACTAGAGGATCAGCAATGGGATCAGGCAACCCTCCCAGTGCGACTGGGAGGTATAGGGGTGCGCAAGGCAACGCATGTTGCTTTACCTGCTTTTCTGTCTTCGTGTTTGGCTTCCAGTGCATTAGTCGAGAAGATTGTTCCCGAACGCTTGAGAGATGTGGTAGGAGCTCAAGACCCCAGGTTTACTGAAGCAGCGATTCGGTGGGACACCCTTACAGATTCCTCCAGTAGACCAACTCCTCCCAAAGAACACAAACAGTCCCACTGGGACAAACCGATCATGGAAAAAATCGCCAACACAATGCTCTCCAATGCCTCAGGAAAGGGCAAAGCTCTTCTCCTGGCAGTGAAGGCACCACACTCAGGAGATTTCCTGTTAGCTGTTCCCAATTCCTCCTTGGGCACTCGACTAGACCCACAGGCCATTCGGATTGGTGTTACTCTTCGCCTAGCCGCCCCCATCCTCACCGAACATAGGTGTATTTGCGGCAGGGGGACAGCTGATCAATTCGGACTTCATGGTCTCGTGTGTCACACAGCAGAAGGGAAGTATGCCAGGCATGAGGAGGTCAATGACATCATAACGAGAAGCCTCGCCACAGCCCGTTGCCCAGCTCAACGGGAACCCCAAGTGCAGAGGTCTGACAGAAGTCAAAAGCGTCCTGATGGAGCCACTATGCTACCTTGGAAGGATGGAAAGCAGATTGCCTGGGACTACAAATGTGCCGCCACATTGGCGGACACCTACTTGCCATACTCCGTAGTGGAAGGGGGTGGAGCTGCCAGCCACAGGGAGACCCAGAAGATCCGCAAATATGAAGACCTTCCCTCTTGCTATAACTTCATCCCAATAGGGTCGGAGACCCTTGGAGCATGGGGCAAGTGTGCTCTAAAATTCCTAATAGAGCTGGGTGAAAAGCTCATCATAGAAACCAAGGACCACAGGGCGACCAGCTTTCTCTTTTAGAGACTCAGTGTTGCAATCCAGAGAGGAAATGCCTGCAGCATTCTGGGCACGCGGCCCACTGCCGGGGAGCTGGACGAAGTATTCGAGATGTAGCTCTGAGTCACCTATGTTTTACTTTCTAACGTATTTTTGTGAATGTTTTGTCAAATATATATATTATATAATGTCGTGCCCAATATGTAAAACTGGTCAATTAGCAAGAACTCATTTAAAATTAAGTCCTTTCTGAACTTTTCTCTTATACGTTTAAAGATATATTTTTTTCATTAATGTTAATGTAAAAATTTTTAATTTTGCACCAAAAGAATCTTAGAAAAATTACCTAACCTTATTATAACAAGAGCAATTTATTTTAGCCTAACCCAACAAAATATGTTTTAAATACGTTTACAATAATTTAATACTAAACAAACACAATCAAATATATTTTTTTGTTAGGTTCAGAATGATTTTGGCGAAATTATTGCATACACAAATTTTCACTTGTCCTATATGGCAAGATGAGCGTTGCTATTTAAGCCAAGATAGCAAATTCTGCCTATTCGGCATGACATATATATATATATATATATATATATATATATATATATATATATATATATATATATATATATATATATATATATATATATATATATATATATATATATATATATGTCGTGCCGAATAGGTAAAACTGATCAATTAGCAAGAACTCGTTTAAAATTTTCCTTTTCTGAAATTTTCCCTTATATTTAAAGATAAATATATTAATGTAAAAATTAATAATTTTGTACCAAAAGAACCTTAGAAAACTTACCTAGCCTTATTATAATAGGCACAATTTAATTTAACCTAATAAAACTAAATATTTTAGATAAGTTTACAATAATTTAATAAACAATGAAATATATTTTCGTTTGGTTCAGAATGATTTTTGCGAAATTATTGCATAAACAAATTTTAGCCTGCCTTGTTCGGCAAGAAGAGCTTTGCTATTTAAGCAAGTTTTACCTATTCGGCAAGATATTATATATATATATTATATATATATATATAATATATAATATATATATATATATATATATATATATATATATATATATATATATATATATATATATATATATATATATATATAGTTTGTTTTTGCTGAGGGACTGATACTGTAGCATGTAACTCGCACGTAGACACGTGTGCACAACGACTTTTTTGTCAGAGGAACTTAGCCTCGTAATTATCGACCATCGTTGAGGCTTCTGGTTTCCTAGTCCTCATAGTGTCTAATCTTCAAAATTTTACATAGTATTCGTCATGGCCACTACTAGGCTAAGAAGTTATTCCCTAACTTCCCTCTGACTCATTTACAGTTCCATTTTTGCTAGTTTATCCATGAATATAAGCTCACTTGCACTATCTTCTGATTTCAACTAACTAGAGATATACGATCCCCTTCAGGGAGGTTCTTTGACGCTGGTGACACTCTTTGATACGTAGAATTGAACCTGCCTTTTCCTCGAGTCGAACCTGAATGCTTCCCATTCCTCCAAGTGCTGTACAACCCCTGTGGGTTCAGCCCTTCCCAAAAATGTAACTGATATACTTGAGTTTGTGCTACCGATTAGTATTTACAGCGTGTATTTAATGTATGTATAAATTTATACACTGTATATGCAAGTATGGGAATTTTCACTGTAGGGGCCAGATTCGTGACGCCGACAGCCATTTCAACCTACCTCGAGAGTGCCAGGAATGTTGCCAGGGTGCAGCCGTCGGCCCGCGTGCTAGCAGCAGCGGTGGGAGACTTTCTAGCCACCATCCACACCCACCGTCCCCTGGTAGTGGCTCGAGCTTCCCTCCACACTGATGCTTTCCTCTCCTTGCTGCACGCCGTCGGCCTCCGGCCTAACAAGGTAGTGTCTAGCCATATTACCTTCAAAAAGTATCCTGCTCACGCATCCAGGACCTGGGTTAACCATTCGCCTCAGCCGAATGGGCCCGAGATTTCGGGCTTGGTAAAACTTTGGGGCATGTTTCCTTACAACTGCTGTCAGTGCACCTAGCAAATGATAAAATAAATAAAAAGGCACAATACTTCGACTGGAACAATACACAACCCTTGCATAGGAGAAAAACTCGTGTTTCGGTCCCACTTGGACCATAAACTAGTCACAAACTGAAACTGACAGAAATGTAGTCATAAGTTTTTTCTCTTGTGTAAGGGTTATTCGTGTACAGCTGATATGTAAGGGTTATTTGTGTACAGCTGATATGTAAGGGTTATTTGTGTACAGCTGATATGTAAGGGTTATTTGTGTACAGCTGATATGTAAGGGTTATTTGTGTACAGCTGATATAGCTAAGTTATTAGCCTATTGTGAGTGGCATTTTATGGTGTCATCCGCATGATGATCAACCATATTACTTTAATTTTAGAGGTTAATATTCTTAAGAATGCTTTTCGTTCATTCAATATTTTTTTTATTGCCAATATAAGAAAATTTTAGTAAACAGTATTTTGAAATGAGTAATTGCACAGTATATTGCATTTGGAGCTCTTGGTTCAATGATCGTGCTTACGGCAGAGTTCATTCCGTCTCCCCCCTCCTACACTTTGTTCACCTAGCAGTAAGTAGATTCATGGGTGATAGCAGACTTTTGGGTCACTTCCTGGTGAAGAATCCCCATGAAAATAAACCACACTGAGTTTACCGGAATTACTAACCCTCCAAGTAAATAATCTGATTCCCAGAATTATTACGGCTTAACCAAGGAGCTCTAAAACTGGTCGAAATATATTTAATTTCATAGAAGTCCTGGTTAATTACCTCCCGTTTATATTCTATTAATGGGAAGCTCTAAACCCGTTAGTCACTGGGACATGCATATGCTGACCATTTAATTTTACTTTTTTTTCGGGGTATCTAATTAGGACACGACCTCACCCTTTCATTGTGATAACCTCTTAGAACGATGATCGGTGTTTTTTCGTCTTAATTCACTTTGGGTGGGTAATTCGGATGCTGAATTTAAAATGCAAGTCGGAACAACAGATGCAATGTGCCAAGTTAACTTTTCACAGCTGATAAAAATTTAATGATTTCTCCCCCCCCCCTCCCTCTTCCTTGTTGGAACGCTTTTAACAAAATCATTTTTAGTATACTGATACTGTCACGCAGGTGATGCACTACTACGAGACTACTCACGCCCAGGAGATGGTGGAGAGAGTGAAGACTTACCTAGCCAAGGATCCTTCCCCCGTCCTCCTCCTGGGCAATGCTGAGAGCTGGCACCTCATAATGGCTGCCGACCGCTTCTTTCCTGCAGTGTGGATTTTGCCTTTCCAGACGCAGCTGCATGACCACATGCGCACGAATCAGTCTGAACTAATCACTTTTATGTATCGCGCATATGACGACGTGCCGAAAGGATTCTTGAGAGAAGAGTTGCTCTTATCGCCTTCTGAATCCACTGTATTGGCCTCTATGTCGTTGTTAACAGGTAGACAGCGGAAGTGGCATGGATCCTATGTAGTTGCAGCGTCCGTTCCCGTAGCTTCAATTGCGGCCAGTGTGAGGCTGGTGGGTGCTTCTGACGGCTGGCTGCCACTCTTGCAATATGACATGGCACGTAGGAGCATAACACGAAGGTTGTACCAGGAATTGCTAGTGACTCGGGAGTTGTTAAAGCCCCTAGTGTCTGGAGACAATTGTACTCTGGTGCTTCGTTATATAGAAGAACTGACGGGCTCGAAGAGAGTGAGTGAGATTCCTGTACACTCAACACTGCCTACTTTGCTGATGCCAGCTGAAAGGGGTGCCCACGTGCACGTGGATTGCCCACGCCACCACACTGACCTTAGATGTTCCGCTCCAAGTGGTTCGTGGGCACCAGTTACATGCCGAGGGGCACTGCAGGGCAGCCACAGGTTCCAAGCAGAGTGTGGGAAGGAGGTGGGAATCACGGTTGCAGCGTCAAGAGGGTGCACGGCATCCCAAGGCTTAGTGTGTCGCAGTGGACACTCGCTAGGCTGTCTACTGTCTGGCTTTCTCCCCACCCTCACCCCTCTCCCCCTCCTCTACCTGTGCTGGCCTACACCTCGACACATTTTTAAAACTTTAAAACATCATCTGCATGCAAGATTTACCACACGGTTTTGTTTAAATGAAATGCAATCAACATTTTCATTCTTTATTTGAAACTACAAATAGCACATTTACTTTTAAATGCCCTTAAATATAAAATAAAGTTGAAATAGTCAGTTTTTGGGATTTTTTATTTTTCATAGCTGACTGCCCTTTTTTTCTTTAAAAAAAGTAAGAACAAAAAAAAGAAGGAACACGCAACAGGCCACTGCCCCAGGGGGAGGGGTCCATGTCCCCCTCCCCGGAATAGCCCAATGCCCCCACCCAGTCGGTCACCATTCAGGAAGGAGCACGGCCTAACCCGCACACAAGCTATCAGGTCCAACTCTCACCCCTCATTATTTATCAAACCCTTTTTTTTAAAACTAACAACTTAGCCTAAAAAACTGTACCGGGAGTTTTTTCCCCAAAACCACAATCTATTACCAAAACCAAAGCTTTCCTATACCCTTTCCTAAATCGAATTTTTCCAACTTGAAACCATTGCACGATCCCCTTGGCTGGAAATTTTTCACCCCGCAAAATTTAGATCCCCTTTATTTACCCCGTTTTCCTTTTATACACGTCGATCTATCCCCCTAATTCAAAACCCTTTTTAAAGGTGCTTTCAGCCCCAGCTATCCTCATGGGAAGTTTCTGATACGGGGATCATCTTTGTCCCCCCTCTGTACGTTTTCCAAACATTTAACCCTTTTCTGAAATATGGTGACCAAACTGACAGCAAAGTCTAAATGAGGCCTAACCAGGATATAAGAGTTGAACAACCGAGGACTCTATTATTTTATTTCAGATATAAAAGCCAAATTCTGTTGGCTTAAGGAGAGTTGGGCTTCTTTTTTGCATTTCCTTTAAATCTCGTAGTTGCATCTTGTATCATGTCAACAGTGAAAAGGCAACATTACATATTAAGTTTTTTTTTATGCATTTTTCCTTTTCATATTTAGAAAAGGGGAATGCAGTCATCTTCAATGCCTGGGGCAGTTAATTTGATTATGATTTTTAAATACCCGAAGGCCTCGCTTCGTTGAATTTCTCAAAAATTCCACCTAGAACTAAATTATTTATTCCCAAACCACATTCACTGCTTAGCCATGAGCCTAGCCTTCACTTTTCTTGTGCACCCCTAGCATCAGCAGAATCCTGCTGCTTAACTGCTTTTTTTGTGATAACGAAAAGCCGTGGATAACTGGGGGGACTTAGTCATGACCCAAAAGGCTAAGACTTTCCCGTGTTTTTCTGATTTCTAACTTTTTATTTTTCTCTTCTGCACACCAAAAAAATAGTGAAATACTGTCTGTTATTAAGAGATGAACTGGACCCCTTCCTTTTTTTCTTGCTTGTGCCCCCGACGGGTGTTTGACACTTTGTAGGGTTTTTGCGATCTGGGAAGCTGTTCCCGCACGAAGGATCGGCCCCCCTTTTTTCCCCACCCTCACACCAGTGTGAGTGTTGGGGGGGGGGCGTTTGGGGCTTGATTTAGAGACCTTTTATTCCTTTCCGCAGATCGAGTCGATTTCTTTCTTCCATACCCCCCCAGGCTTGTACGACCCATACAAGCTTAGCGCCCCTTCATAAATTTGAGTTCGAGGCCCCTATACCCTTAATTTAGAAAGCTTTAAGCCCTTTTAAGGTCACACATTTGGGGAATAAAAGGGTAAGGGGTTCGATCTTGGGTTAAGAAAAGTAAAATTCCTTTGGGATCAAGAGTACCTCCCAGCTAAAAAGAACCTTTGGGAGACTTCGTTAACTGTTGCCCACCAGACCCCTTTTAGTTTAGAACTTTTTTTTATTTTTAAATAAATAAACCGGGGTGTCTTTAAAAGGCACTGGACAGACACCTACTACCGGCTTGGTCCGTACGTCAGTTTTTCATGCTGCCACAGTAACAGCCTGGGTTATCAGAACCTGATCCACTGCGAGGCCGGTCTCAGACCGAGCGCGGGGTCGCTGACCCCCCAAACCCCCTCCTGGATCAAGCGTTCACACTTCTCTAATAGATGCATAGTTCCGCAGTCCTCGGGGGAAGGGGGGAGGGGAGGACATTGGAGATACGTCGTGATTCCTGTACTTTTTGGGGGGGGAAACCATTTTTTTCTGGGCATCAAGCGATGTCAGATTTTTTGGGGGACTCCCCCCTTCACAGGTAGGTCTTGATGCTGGGAAGTAGTTCCCCTTTAACAGGAAATTTGATCTTCCCTTCCTTGGAACAAATCTAGTTCTTCCCATTTCCCCGCGCTGTAATACCCCTACGGGGGTTAACGTTTTAAACCCTGATAACAGTAACGAAATAGGGCATTATCAATTTTGAGTGTTTTAAACCAGGAAAACGCAGTAGTCAAATTATGTAATGTTTAAAATATATAGGTTGGTAGACGCAACCCCCAGGGGAATACTACCGTCCTGCCCGATGACTTTGGGAAACAGAAAAACCCGTAACTGTTTTGCATATGATAATTGCTGGGTTTCTTTTTCTGTCTCATAAACACGCTAAAAACAGGATATCTTGCTACTCCTACTTACACTTTTGGGGCACACTTCACAGACATGGGACATCATATATATAATACATACACTGGTTTTTTCTCCTTTTTTCTAAATAAACTCTTGTTCCTTTATTTTCTTCTATTGTCCATGGGAAGTAAAAAATCTTTCCTCCGTAAGCCATCGTGTCGTATGACGACAAAATCCGGGGGCAATGGGCTAGTAACCCCCTTTTCCTGTAGACATTTAAAAAAAAGAGAAGAAAAAAACTTTATAAAACTGGGGTGCTTAAAAGGCTGGAGAGGCGGGGACAAGAAACAGATATTGCTGATGTTTTGAAAGAAAAAAGTTGGATGTCCTCCCAAGCGAAACAAAGCGAAGGGGGGGGAGGGGGGTTTCAGTGGGGGGAAAAAAAGGGATTAAATCGGGTATCTGAGAAGGTTTGAGCAAGGAAGGGTAGCAAAAATTTGAATGACATTATGGGAAGGAAAAAGAAATATGAATGTGAAATTAAGAATTAGTGGATTAAAGTAAAGGTTGGGTCGAGAAGTGTTATAAAAAAACGTGTATCCTGGAAAGAAGGAATGCAGAGGAAGAGAGGATTTTTGGGGTGTTTAAAAGAATGTATAGAGCCTTTGACCCAAGTGAGAGATGAAATTTTTTTTGGAGGGACATGAATCAAAGTAGGAGAAAATTTTTAAAAGGGTGTTGTAGGGAAGTTTGGGGTGCCGGTGTAAATATAAAGGGAGCCCTTTTTTTGAACTTTTATAAAAGGGGTTTAGTTTAGTAATACATATTTTAAGAAAGAATAAATAAGTTACAAGTAGATGTAGGGGGGGAAAAGACAGTATTTTTTGAAAATTTTATTGGTAGATAAAAAACTGTTGAGAACTTCAGGTGTACATTTTATAAGGGGCCACAGATAACAATCACTTCTGTTGTACTCACGAAGTAAAAGGTAGATGGGGTACAAGGGGAATAGAAGCTCAGGAAGAGAAGGTAAGGTTTTTTAAAAAAAAAGAGGAGGCGTTTTGGGTAAAATAAAACGCTATTGGAGGATAGTGGGCTAAGGGAAAACAAAAGGCAATGGGGGGCGAAGAGGTATGGGGTAGGTTTAAAAATAAGGGTTTGGTTCAGCAGAATTTTGGGTTTCAGGGAAAATGGGGGCGGGGGGGAAGAGGACGATTGGGAATGAATGTAAAGAGAGTAGTAGGGAGAAAAATTACATATGAAAATTTTTTTCAAAGTAGAAGTGCAAGGAGGGGAAAATTTGGGAAAAAAAAGGGGAGGTAAGGAGTGGTGAAGCAATGTAAAAAGAGAGCAAAAAAGAGAGTGGGTGAGATGTTATCAAAAAAATTTTTTTTTAAAAAAAGAAAGTTTTGGAGTGAGATTAACAAGTTTAAGAAAAACCCAGAACAAAATGGATTTGTCATTTAAAAAAAAGAGAGCGAGTTATTAAATGGAGAATTAAGGGAATTGGGGGAAAGGGGGGAAATTTTTTGAATTGTTTTTAAAAGTTGATGAAGATAGGGAACTTTTTTTGTGTATAGGACAAGGAGAAAACATTTGTAATGAGGAAGAGCCATTTTGAGTGTGGGGGAAGTTCGGGGGCAGTAGGTAAAAGAAAGGGGGGAAGGGAGCCGGATTGATGGGATAAAGATAGAAAAGTTAAAAACAGGGGGGGATATAGTTTTGGAGTGGTTGGTGCAATTATTTAATAAATGTATGGAAGAGGGTAAGGTACCTAGGGATTGGCAGAGAGCATGCATAGTTCCTTTGTATAAAGGCAAAGGGGATAAAAGAGAGTGCAAAAATTATAGGGGGATAAGTCTGCTGAGTATACCTGGTAAAGTGTATGGTAGAGTTATTATTGAAAGAATTAAGAGTAAGACGGAGAATAGGATAGCAGATGAAACAAGGAGGCTTTAGGAAAGGTAGGGTGTGTGTGGACCAGGTGTTTACAGTGAAACATATAAGTGAACAGTATTTAGATAAGGCTAAAGAGGTCTTTGTGGCATTTATGGATTTGGAAAAGGCGTAATGACAGGGTGGATAGGGGGGCAATGTGGCAGATGTTGCAAGTGTATGGTGTAGGAGGTAGGTTACTGAAAGCAGTGAAGAGTTTTTTACGAGGATAGTGAGGCTCAAGTTAGAGTATGTAGGAAAGAGGGAAATTATTTCCCAGTAAAAGTAGGCCTTAGACAAGGATGTGTGATGTCACCGTGGTTGTTTAATATATTTATAGATGGGGTTGTAAGAGAAGTAAATGCGAGGGTCTTGGCAAGAGGCGTGGAGTTAACAGATAAAGAATCACACACAAAGTGGGAGTTGTCACAGCTGCTCTTTGCTGATGACACTGTGCTTTTGGAGATTCTGAAGAGAAGTTTGCAGAGATTGTGGATGAATTTTGGTAGGGTGTGCAAAAGAAGAAAATTAAAGGTAAATACAGGAAAGAGTAAGGTTATGAGGATAAAAAGATAGGATGAAAAGATGAATACAGATTGGAGGGAGAGAGTATGGAGGAGGTGAATGTATTCAGATATTTGGGAGTGGACGTGTCAGCGGATGGGTCT